TTTTAGTCGACGGCACGTTATCTTGTTACAGATACGCCGCTCAGATATCTTTCGATAAAGGTAGAGGTGTAATATACGCATGTGCTGCACACATGGGGAGAGACATGGTAATGCCTCTCGTATCACGAAATAAAATATATTTACGAGGCGTAACATTTATATGTGTCGATTATCTAAGAGATAATAAGGGGATTCGATGTTTTAAGTGATGTTGATGATCGATGTTGATGGGGTAGGTAAAGATTTTATCGACGGTGTAAAATTTGTATTAAGAGAGAGAGAGAGAAAGAGAGAGAGAGAGAAATATCGATTTCTCATATTTTTCTCGCGAATCGTACGTTTTTTTTCTTCTGTTGATTTTTATCTATAGCTTTTTCGATATTTCGACGCGAGAAAATCGATGGATAAATTTATTTTTAAGCGAGTATGCGTTTTATAATTAAGATTAAATTTAATTTCGGAAATGGAAGTTATAATATATTTTAAATACTATAATTGTCTGATTGAGATAGTATAATTTTTAATGTCGTTTTTAAATAGTAGTATTATAAATAATTTCAAGGATTGTTGTAAATAATTAAATAGTTAATTTTCGCTTTAAAACTACGAATTTCCAATTTCGATAAGCTCGCTAGAATTAAAGATAATAAGAAAATTATCAGTGTGCAACGTATTAACGAATCTATGAATCCACACGAATACGAATATATCAGTCAATAAAAAAGATACGATGAGTCAAGTAATCATTTTAGATAACTTAAGATAAAAAGAAAATAATTAATCTTTGAAATCTATGAGACAATATATTTCGATTCTATTCAATTTATTAGAAAAGAAAAAAAAAAAAGAACAAAAATGCTGAAACTTTTTTTCAAAAAAATCGAAAAATCTTTAGATTCGATCAAGAGTGAAAGATACGTTTATACAATTGTTATACGTAACTCATTCACGCCATCTACGACTCGAATTAGAATGATTACAAAAAAAAAAATTAGCATTTGAAATTTCTTCACCGTCCTAAATCCTACAATTTCAAAAATTATTTAAAAAAAATCTACGCCATGCAACTTATACATGGTCAATTTCGTCAATTCCACGCTGGTTAAAATTTTAAAACGTCGAGGAAGCGATCCGGAAAGCGTGCAATTTGGAAAACGTCCTTTCACTCACGCCATCTATGATTCGAATTAGAACGATTACAAAAAAAAAGCAATTGTTACTTGAAATTTCTTTGATGATCGATGTTGATGGGGTAGGTAAAGATTTTATCGACGGTGTAAAATTTGTATTAAGAGAGAGAGAGAGAAAGAGAGAGAGAGAGAAATATCGATTTCTCATTATTTTTCTCGCGAATCGTTACGTTTTTTTCTTCTGTTGTATTTTTATCTATAGTCTTTTTCGATATTTCGACGCGAGAAAATCGATGGATAAATTTATTTTTAAGCGAGTATGCGTTTTATAATTAAGATTAAATTTAATTTCGGAAATGGAAGTTATAATATATTTTAAATACTATAATTGTCTGATTGAGATAGTATAATTTTTAATGTCGTTTTTAAATAGTAGTATTATAAATAATTTCAAGGATTGTTGTAAATAATTAAATAGTTAATTTTCGCTTTAAAACTACGAATTTCCAATTTCGATAAGCTCGCTAGAATTAAAGATAATAAGAAAATTATCAGTGTGCAACGTATTAACGAATCTATGAATCCACACGAATACGAATATATCAGTCAATAAAAAAGATACGATGAGTCAAGTAATCATTTTAGATAACTTAAGATAAAAAGAAAATAATTAATCTTTGAAATCTATGAGACAATATATTTCGATTCTATTCAATTTATTAGAAAAGAAAAAAAAAAAAGAACAAAAATGCTGAAACTTTTTTTCAAAAAAATCGAAAAATCTTTAGATTCGATCAAGAGTGAAAGATACGTTTATACAATTGTTATACGTAACTCATTCACGCCATCTACGACTCGAATTAGAATGATTACAAAAAAAAAAATTAGCATTTGAAATTTCTTCACCGTCCTAAATCCTACAATTTCAAAAATTATTTAAAAAAAATCTACGCCATGCAACTTATACATGGTCAATTTCGTCAATTCCACGCTGGTTAAAATTTTAAAACGTCGAGGAAGCGATCCGGAAAGCGTGCAATTTGGAAAATGTCCTTTCACTCACGCCATCTATGACTCGAATTAGAACGATTACAAAAAAAAAGCAATTGTTACTTGAAATTTCTTCACTGTTTTAAATCCTACAATTTCAAAAATTGGCAAATTATTTAAAAAAAAATACTACGTCACACAATTCATACGTGGTCAATTTCGTATTCCACGTTGGTTAAAATTTTAAAACGTCAAAGAAGCGATCCCGAAAGCGTCCAATTTGGAAAATGGCACAAGTCCGGTTTCCACGAGAAAGAAAGAGAGAGAGAGAGAGAGAGTCGAAACGGTTCGAGAAAGGAGTTAGCACGCTTAAGCACACTTAAGTCGGCGCCATAAGAAAATGACGAATGCCAATTAGCATATGAAAAGCTTCCCTCCGTTCGCCAGGTTCGGTTGGCCGAGCGCACCTCGACGCTTGGGTGGGGTTGTTCCTTGGTACGGGACGCTTGGCAGGGCGATCACGTTTTTGAATATTAAGGGCAGGATTACACCGAGGGCTTAACGCGCGAAATTTAGTCCGGCGGAGCCAGAAACGAAAAGAAATCACCCTTAAGACCCGGCGGTGGAGAGGAACGGTGGAGACACGGGGAAAATCGGGAAGGAGAGGGGCGTAGAGGGAATCTTTTTCTTCTTAACCCAATCAGCCGCTCTCCTCTCAATGATAAATGAATCGGTCGGAATTTTGAAATGAAATTGGAATTGGATTAGGTTGGAGTGAACGATCAGATTTAATGGGGAATATAATTTTTATAACTATATATATGTATATCTTTTCTTAATTATAAATCAGAATTTCGAAATATGGGAATCAGTTGTGAACGTGACGAGAAAGAAGAGGAATTTCGAAAAAAAATAAGAAAACTTTTTTCAACGAATCGATTTTCGAATTTTGAAACCGAATTAAATCAGATGAGATTTAATTTTGATAATTATATTTTAAAAAAGTTTAAAAGTGTATAGAAAAAATATTTTCTTAGCAATAAATAAATATGGAATTTCGAAATGTGGATCACAACAAATCGGAATGTGTGTAATTTTGATCTATGATATCGTAAAAATGTGCTAATTATTTTTACGATTAATAGGAAAAATCTATTCGACGATTATTTTCCGCCATATTTGAGTGTATCAAGAGAGATTTGTTAAAGAATATATGTACGATTATGGAATTGTTCCGATCGCTAAAAATATAATAAACACACGCGAAGATATTCTTTAAGAAAATTGATGATTACAAATGAATACATTCATAATCAATATATTACAGATGAATTCAGGACACGAAAATCTGAAAAAAAATCCACGCATGTAAACACACGATTCCCGATACGATCTTGTTTTCATGTCACAGTTTGTTACGTATCGTTTTTATGTTTTCTTACCTTCGAAGAAATTGCTCGAACTGACCACCTCTCGATTCGATAAAGGTGTGAATACTTCTTATCGTGGATCGTCGAACGAGTTCGAAGAATGGATATTGCACGACGTTTCATAATAACCACTAGCACGATAAACACATCTTACTTCAGTGAAAACTGTCTCTATATTAATTGCTTCATTCATAATACGATACCCGGGACAATGTTTACATATTCGTTCGATTTCATAACCTTCAAGTTTTGCAGAAAACCAGTGAACCAATGTATATCCAGTTATATTTATTATCTAACACGGAGAAAATGATCACGACGCGGAGAGAGAGTGAGAGAGAGAAAAAATAACTACGCACGAAATAGAGGTTATGTCGAGCCTAGTGATATTACGATACGAAAAAACGTATATTTCTCTAACGAAATCAAGTATATATCGTGATATTGAAAGATATTGAAAAAACACTTTTCAAAGTATTACTTTTCTTTCTTTAATCGAACGATATTATTTAAGTTGAAAAGAAAATAAAAAGATTTAATTTTACAGACGAACGAATTCGATAAGTGGGATAAATATTATACACGTATTACTACTAACGAGTGATTGGTATTCTGGACGGCCCCTTCGAGGAGCCACGGTAATATTCCACGTTCATAACGATAACAAGTACGGCATAACTGAAATATAGAAATGTATTTATACGCGCGTATATACGTAAGTACATCTATAGATATCTCACGTAGGAGGATGCACGCTTTCCATTAGCAGAGTAAGTGACCACTGGCTACCATTTTCTTTGATGTCGGTTAATTTACTAATAACATCGGTTCCACCGGTAGACTCTTCGTCCACCCTCTAAATATTTGTATCGCCAACATATCGACTTGTCCTCGTGTAATTAAGCTACATTATTATTATTTGAGTGGAACCAGATAGCCAGGGGAAAAAGACCAGCCACAACTCTGGAACCCGGGAATGAACTTTCCCAATCGGCCACCACGCAGCTAAACTCCCGGATGAATTTCCACTTTATCGATTGTACTCGTGCATTCGTTGCTCGTTCATTAATCTCACTCTTGTAAACATAAACTTTTTTCACTTGAATATATACGTGTACTATCCACTCCATATCAGTGTACAATATCTGTATCGATATCGTATATTCACAAATTTTTTACGCTATTCTTCCAACTTTCGAGAGCATTTCGAAAAAAGAAAAAAAAAAAAAAACTTTAACAAAAGATTCCAACCGAGAAAATTCTAAAAAAAAATTCTAAAAAAAATCTCCTCCTCCTTACGACTTTCTCACGCGTTTTCAACCGAGAACATTCATAAAAGCGTATAATCTGAAAAGTGCAAGAGAAAAAAAGAGAAACATAGGTATCTCTAGAGGAGGGTTGAAAATCACGGGCAACCGTCTGAGGAACATAGAGGAAAGGAGGTGGGGGAGGGGGCCGCCAGTTCGGGCGATCTTAGCGGAGGATTACGTAGAATTAAATCCTTGGACGGGGGCGTGCCCCCGTAACACTTAATTTTTCCCCCGATTTTTTAATCTCCCGGTAAATATCGTCCCATTCTCTCTCTCTCTCTCTCTCTTCTTTTCTCTCTCCTACATTCGGCCATCCGCGCCTTCCCCTCTCTCTCTTCTCTCTCTCTCTCTCTTCTTACCATCGTCAAAGGAGAGGAACCCATTTAAAAACCTCATCAATGCTTAAGCCCCCCTGCGCTACCATAGGAACTAATCCCTCCTATTTTAACGCAAGAACGAAGGTGAGAGAAGGAGCGCGGAGAAGGAAGGTGGAGGATGAGGGGAGGGGGAGGGAGGAAGGAGTACGCGCTTTTAAAAGTAAGACTCCGCCTTTATTAGTAGATACAACAGTTTTATTTCCACCGAAAAAAAGGCGAAGGAGGATAGAGATAGAGGGAGGAGAAAGGATTGTTGTCCCTCGTTCAACTTCCAAAGAGGGAGAGAGAAAGAGAGACAGAGAGAGTTCTTTAAACTCTCGAGAACGAGGCCCTCGTCTTCGTGAAACGAGCTTAACCAATGCTACGACCTTTCAGACACGCCTAATTGGCAGGCTGGCTGCCTCTGTCAACCGCGCAAAAACTGGTGTAACGCGCCCCCTATACCTCGAAACTTTAACGATCGCGTAATCGACGTATATCCTCGTTTCTATATTCGCTGCTACGAATTTTCCGTTCCGTTGTGATTGAAATTTTCTTTTTTTTCCTTCTTGCTTTGCTCGGAGGTGTTCTTAAAATTTGTTCTTATAATAGTTTATTTTTATTCGTATCCTGTGGTGATCGTAATTAATATCTCGATTATTATTAAAATATTGAGACAGTGACATTTGCAGAAAACTTTTAAATATAACGAATATCTTCGATTTGCTAAGAGAAAGGAATTACGATATTATGTGCTCGACGAAAACAAAAGTGCAAGATAAAAGGATCAAGATGGATAACCACTTCGTAATGGAATTAATAGAAAACACTTTTCACGAGGTTAGGTCAAGTTCGTACCTAGGGACAACTGTAATACGCTTTAAACTGTTAATAGAGTATCATCTGGTGGTAATCGTAAGTAGTATCTTGATTATTATTAACCCTTTGAAACGTTTACAATCACATTTTCATAAAACTTTTGACTTGCCAAAAGAGAAAGGAATTATTATTATGCATTTCGTTGAAAAAAAAAAGCGAAAAATAAAAAGATCGAGATGGACAACCCACTACGTATTAGTACGAAATAATAGAAAACACTTTTCACGAGGTTAGGTTAGGTTCGGTACCTAGGGGCAACTGTAATACGCTTTAAACTGTTAATAGAGTATCGTGGTACGGTGTTTGGCTGCGGTTGAATCTCAAGTGTTGGGCTAACATTCATGATGAAATTAATCTGGAAGCGGGAGGCCGATCGTGGGGGTGTAGCCACCGGTTAAAAAGCTTCCGGTGGGCTCCATCCATCCCACAGGTTTGCTGCCCCCTTCCTCGTTGACCTCGACCCTTTCCATTCGGGATTCGTTCCAACACTCGGCCCTCTGTATTCACGAATGCCCGTCTGGAACTCCGACTTTGACCCACCCCTCCCCCCGGATGACCACTTGTCGACAGTAACCCTGTGCGTCCATGAACGCCCCGTTAAAGGGTGTCTTTTTTTGTTTGTCACTGATGACCTTTTACCATTTGAAGAAAATAAAATTCGATAATACTCGATGGACGATTGAATATATGTATATTTTGTATTTTTTATTTTTGGAATTTTTTCGAGCAAGAAAAATAAAATAATGATTAAATTTTGTATCGATTTATCATATACAATGTTTTGCCGAGTATCGTCAATGATCATTTAAAAGAATGAGATATATGCATTTGGTATTTTTTATTGGAATTTTTTCAAGGAAAAAAAGTAAAATAAAATTAAATTTTTATTTGGTATTATTGATTTACTGTGTTTTATCGTTAATTATTTGCAAGGAAAATGAGATATTCGACGATATTCGATGGATGATTGAATATATATTTTTTATCGATTTACTATATACACTGTTTTATCGACTATCGTCAACGATTATTCGTAAGGAGAATGAGATTCGATGGAATATATGTATTTAGTATTTTTTATTGGAATTTTTTCAAGAGAGAAAAGTAAAATAATGATTAATGAGATTCGAGGATATTCGATAGATATGTATCTAGTACATTTTATTGGGATTCTTTCAAGGGAGGAAGGTAAAGTAACGATTGAATTTTTATCTCGTATTTTCTATCGATTTACCATGTACAACGTTTCCTCGAGTATCGTTAATGATCGTGTGCAAGAAGATATTCGATGAACGATACATAAATATACTTTCTTAATCGATTCAACCATATCGTTTATATTTTCTCCATTCGCGAGAAGACACGATACAGCTATTCGTATTTTCATCGATTTTTCACGGATCGTGATAGATACACGCCTTTCACGTTGAACAAAATTTTACAATAATCTTCCCTCTTTCTTAAGAATGAAGAAATGCAAGGCTTCCTCGAGAAGAAGCATCGATGAAATAACCGTCTAACGCGACAATAGCCACTCCCCACCCCGCCCGACTTTCCACGAATCGTCTCTCGTCACGGTATTCGAGCATCCTTAAAAAACATAAACACATTTTTTTTTATCTCCGTCTAAAATTTCCCTCGAGTTTTAAAAACTTGGAGAAACTTGATAGACGAAGAGAACGAGTGTAAACGAAAGTAAACGGAAACACCGATCGATAAATTAACCGAAAAAGAAAAAAATGAGGGGGGGATTGAATTTGCCCTGTCTTTGCCCCGAAGAAGAGACGAATAATTAGGCGAACAAACAAACAAAAAACGAGAAAGAGAAATAAAAAAAAAAAAAAAAAAAAAAAAAAAAGGAAAACCCTTCGACGTATCTATCGTTGCGTGAAAAGGAGACGAAACGAAACGACAGACATCTTTCTTCCTCCCCGCTGATTTTTCACAAATAAAAAGTAAGAGTTTTACGAATCAACACGCGTATATATACAGATGGAGAAGGAGGAGGAGGAGGAGGAGGAGGAGGAAAACCGCGTTTCTGATAATTGGCAAGGAATCTTTTTTCCAAGGGTTCCCTCCACCCTTCCATCCATCCTTCCCCTCCCCCTCCACAAAGGAAAACGAAACATCTCTCCTCGCGCACACTTTCCTCCTCTCCGTTTGAAGATTATGCACATTCGAGGGGTGGGGAGGGTGGGAAAACACGGCGATATTTATTTTATACGCTCGATATATCGCGAGCGAGCAGACACGCAGGTTCTGCGAAAAAGAAAAAAAAAAAAAGAAGGCAGAGGTTCGCAACTCTGGATGCCTGTTTACACCATCTTTTTTGTTTTTTTTTTTTTTGAACGTAAACAGATCGGTTCGTTCGTTCGATCTCGAAAACGTTAACGAAGAATCGAGGGTGTTTAACGTTTTAATTGCGGTTTATAAACCACGTATTAAGGAATTATAGGCAGAGGGTGTGGCTTGTATATACCGCTTAAAATTAAAAATAAAATAAATGAGAAAAATGTTCGGTGATACTTAATTAAAATTAGAATGTATATAGTTATTTTCGTATTATTGTGACATATAATAACTAATATTAAATAACGATTGTGCCTTGTATACAATTGAAATGAAAATGAATAAATCTTTTAAAATAGATACTTCAGTT